AGTCGCATTGTCCCCAACTCAAACCACAACTCGTTGGTAAATAATCGATGAAATAGTTTGTCTGGACACATTCAAGTTCCTCTCATTGTCACCTTAAAGCTGTGAAAATTTGGTGTTAATCCGACGACAATAAGTATACGTTATTTTTTGTTAAAGACCTTGTATTTTGAAAAACATAAACTCCTAGAAAACGTCCATGAAGTAACAGCAAAGATTTTCAAGCTTGTTTATCGGCACAATCAATTTGTTTTCCCATCAAGGTCTGTTTTACCATGTGTAGGGACATCCAAATGTGTAAGGCTATTGGAAACCAAAAAAATAAAGGAATGGGATAGCTATAATTGGATAAATTCGGCATATGAAAACACCAAAATCAATGATTTTTTTTCAGTGGCTGTGTGACCTTGTGTCTGACACATTCATATGCAAATGACTAATCTGTGAAACAAACAGGGGCGGAGACAAACCACTCAAATGTTTGGAAACACTCATTGTGTGTCAGATAGCTACTGATAACACATCCTAACATTGCTTTGTCTTGAGTTTATCTTTGAAACTTATAGGCACACAGATTAAACCTGTGTTGTTGATTTTGGAAAACACTACTGAGGCTGCCTTGCTTCCCTTCAGAAAATCTATATTTTAACCAACTTACATGACATTCTATGTTATATTGACTTTATCAGATGAAAGTTTATGGTGCATTTCATCAATTAATAAATAAATGTGAAAATCATAATTTTCAACACAAATAATAGTCTCGCTACCTTAAGAAATCAGAAAAATATATACACTTGTTAAATTAGCAAATAATACATACTGATTACATTTATATTTATGCAGTAATACATTTGATTATTTTTTGTTAGGATCTCCCACTGTGGTTGTGTCTCAGAGTTCACAACAACAGTCTGTTGCTCAACCATATCATGCTTCTGGTATACAGATGGCACCATCAGTAACCCCTGGATTTGGTTATACACCTACAGCTGCTTCAAACCCCATGGCTGAATACCCACCACCATATGCACAAGGAGGCATGGTAGATCCAAAGTACTGAAACCTGATACAATGTGGATGCCATATAAATTGTTTAATATATATGGGCAAGAATGTTGTATTGTTTTAATTTTGCTTTTTGTTGATGCTGTCTTTTACATACAAGATATCTAACTTACACCAAAACCATATTGAATGCTTACATTGTTCACAACTTAGCAATGCTAGATTTTGACAAATATAGTTAGTTTTTGTTACTCAACAATTTTAGTATTTCTCGTCAGGACAATGACATTTAAGAGTTTGAGCCGGTATTCTGTCAATAAAAACAATGCATGTTTGGATTTTCAAATTCATACTAGAATTGAATACTGTAAAATGACTAATTTTCACTGGGTTTAAATTTCGCTGATTTACCATTTCAGGCATATTCAGTGGGTTTTAAATTCATGATTATATCATTTAGATAATGTGTTCTATGATAAATTTTACATATTCACTGGGTTTTAATTTAGCGCATTTTCCAGTCAGCGAAATAAGCAAAATTAAAACCCAGTGAATAATTAACCCCATCCAAAATTACAAAGATGAATTTGAAAACTCTCCATGAAAGATTTTCAATCTATCACTGATGTCTTGCGAATACTATTTATTACTCATGTACTGTAAGTTAAAGTTTTATTTCATACACCTGCAAATTAAGAATCAGAAACAGTATTAGAAGTGATAAATTAATAATCAGGAACAGTTTGAAAAGCAACAAATTGATAATCGTGAAATTTTAAAAGCAACAAATTAATAGTCAGGAGAAGTTTGCAAAAAAACCAAATTAAAATCAAAAACAGTTTGCAAAATCAGGAACAGTTTGAGAAGCAGCAAATTAATGGTCAGGAACAAATTAGAGAAATCAAGAACAGTTCATGAAGCAACTAAATAATGCATAGGGTGACTCTTTTTTTTTTTTTTTTTTGAAATAATATGCTTATAACATTTTAATTTCTCTATACATGCATTTACCATATCTACTAATAATTGCGTATCTGGTATCTCAAATCATATAAAACCAATATGGGGCAATTAATAATATATGCGACATAGAAATCAATCATATATGCCATGTACAATAATTGTAATTTGAAAGTGGTTATGAGATTACAAGATAATAAAATCTATGCAATCTATCTTAATTAATTCATGTTCTTGTTTTTATTGTTTTGTTCATAAAATATTTCCACTTGTGCTAGTTTGACTAAAGCGGAATATATAGGTTCTGTAGTTGTATCTAAACTACCGGTAGATGAACTCATGGGGGGAAGTAGAAGGAAGTACAATTCAAATATACAAAAAGTAAATCTGTTGTTATAAGGTGTGTACAATACACTATACCATATTTGCCCCCACGTTCTAACCAACAGTTGTATGTATTGTTACGGGATCATTAAAATTGACACCTATCATTTATAGCTAAAAGAGCAAATATGGTACATACAGTATTTGTTTTGACCTATAGCAAATGCATTGTAAAAGCTTTGTTATGACTACTGTTATTTAGGTAATATTTTTATTATTATTATGAAACTCATAGCAGTTAAATGCATGCAGGCACTGCAAATAGTTTGTTAGGCAGCTTGCAGTTATGTGTTTGACTAAGACATAATATCCTGTGATTGTAAACTTGTGCATTATATTCATGTCACTTTTAATAGTCTCAGTATTAATGAAGAGCCCAAACAAACATGTATAACAACCAGAGTGCATTACACTTTTTAACTAATTTTCACCATTTTGGTGTTTTACGTTTAAAACACAATGTTGGAAGGCTCACTTCAATGACTGATATGTGTCTCTACATAGTGTAATGTGAAGTCTGCTGAGATCTCATTGAGAGTGACAGAACATACCACATAATCTAGTTTATGCCCCTAAAATTGCACTCATTGATCTAGGTATACTATGATACTTGGATACAGGCATTGTTGGGATATAATGGAACATGATATTAGTCATGGTTTGCTATATGTATGAATATTTTTTTCCCAATATTATGTTACTTATAATATTAGTTGCTCCTTTGAATTTCGCCAAAGCCTTACCTACATTTTACCGATATCTGCAGAATAAATCAAGAAAACTACACAAATTTACTCCATTTAGGAATTCCTAACGGTTAGTCCGAACGCACGACACCGTTGGAGGCGTGGCCTGT